TGCTTTTATGTGGTTTTATGTTTTACTTTAAATCGTTAGTGTTGGTACTTAAAAAGTTAAATTATATAGTTTGAGAATTTAAGAGTCATGCGATCATCAATTTAAAATAGGTTACTATAGGTACTTGTTGCTTATATGATCTTCATTATATTTTTACAAGTAGGTATATCCCAATATAATRGGCGAGTGCCGAGTAGTATCTAAAAATCATTCTTCTTAAAATAAAAGTAGTATAGTATAGTATTCCATCATTAATTTTTAAATTTAAGCTAATGGATTTATTTAGAATAACGTTTTTTTCATAAACAAAAAAAAATAACATATATTTATAATATACTACATAATAGAGTTTGAAATTAACTTACACACGATATTAAACCAACCAAATTATTGAAAATTGAATTTACACACTTGTTAAATTATTACTATCTTAAACTCTAATAAAAATGTTGATAGTTTTTTTTTTCTATTGATCTTTATACTATATAACTCGGCAGTAAGSGCCATTATAGTTAATCTTTTAAATACTAATTACAATTTTTACRATTTTTTGAGGTTTACATTATGTTACATTATCTTAGAAATTATGATTACAATTATAGTTATCTATAAGGTTGTTTAGTTTTAAGAAGTTTATAATTTTCATGTTTTGATCGGGGTTGGGTCCGTATTTCCGTCAAGTTGAGTTTTGTACCTAAGTTCCTGTTGGTATATACCTATGAMATTCTGTGATGATGTGTTTGACTGTAATCTGCGTGTATTTCAGTTGATTAGTTTATGTATTAATGTATACCTATTACTATACAGTTCTACCTACAACGTAAGATTAAAATATATTATATTATTCTAAAAAAGTTTATTGACTATAATATTCTGTTTTTTGTTTCGTGTTATCTTAAGAACTATATTCCTAATATTCTGCTGTGATAGTTCTTAGTATAAGACGTACTCCTTACTTTGCAGCTTATCGTAATGGACTTTAAACACACCAATTAAAATATATTTGCATACAAATCACGCGTCTGATCGAGTTTTTTTAGTCAATTTTTTTGTTTATCAGAAAGTTTAGGATTAGTAACGGAAATGGATATTACTCAAAAGTGAAAATAAACATGTTTAATGGTACGACTATTATACTTTTTTTTTATATACGAGCACCTATTATTATTGTTCTTAAGATGTGTATTAAACAGTACAATTCTATAATGTTATTTATTTTATAAGTGAATAAGCCATTGTGCATATTAAATAAGACGCAATGTTCCACGACGATTTAATTCAATAACTGCTATCAAACTATAATATGGGTTTTATTATTATTTTGAGACTGATTATAAATTACAGTTTTAATAGAATAAAGATTCTGCGTTAAGGAAATAATACTACATTCACACATTTGCTTTTAAGTTTTATAATATATAACATTAACTACCTATATGTATACTGGGATAATATTACTTACATTGGACTACATGTTGTTTGTGTTGTCTGGCCATCCACTATTATTGTTTAC